AGTTAGTAAATTACAGCAGACTAGACTCAATTCCCAAATTAAAACATGCTTGTCTGTGGAATACCATGCGACATGAGAAGTCTTTAACGTGGCCAAAGAACCCTGCGTAACATGTTTCCTTGCTCACGGGTCTGCCACATGGGACTTCTGCCATTCCTCGAACACGCAAAACTTACTCCTGCTTCAGGTCCTTTACACCTGCTGTTCCTTCTTCCCGGAACGCTCTTCCCCCAGGATCTGCGAGGCTCACGCCCTGTCTCTGCCTAAATGCTGCTTCTTCAGAGAGCCAGGCAGAAATCTGCAGAATCTCCTGCTTGTATTTCCTCTCGTTCTGACAATGTACATGGTCTTACTCTGCTTTTTTTCCACTGCATTTGGCATTTCCAGAAATGACTTTGTATATTTATTTCTTTACTTGTTTACTGCCCGACTCTTCCACTGAAACACAAGCTTCCCGAGGGCAGGGACTTCGCCCCTCATGTTCACTGCAGATTTCTGGCCCTTAGAAATAAACCTGGCAAATGGGAGGCACTCAATACTATTTTTTGGTAAGCAAACTTTAATAATTCATATTTACTAAAAAGGAAATATATATAAATCATTGATTTTTTTAAAGTTATATAACAGTAATACAGTATAATCTCATATTTGCGGGGGAAAAGTCGGATATAAATACACATGACTATCTACAGGTATGTGCATTTCAAAAAGTACGGAAGAATATCTCTGTGATAAGAATACATGACTATGTTCCCTTTTGTTTCTGTATTTTCTAACTCCTCTTTAATGAAAGGCTTGTGTGATTTTTTTTTAAAGATTATCTTATCAGCAAATCTACTAAGAATTCACTGCACTTACATAATTAGGGATATGCACAAAGATTTGGCTAAGAGAAGTTCATCAGTTTTATATATAATCATGAAAAATAAGAAACAACCAAAATGTTCAACATTAGTTTAATCACTATGGACATCTGTAAGACAGAATATTCCACAACCATTTAAAAATTATGTTGTAGGAAAATACCGATAGGAGGGAAATGTGAGTTAAAGAAACAATGTATAGAATATGATGCAAACATTTTTAAATGAGAGAACTGAAAGGATATACACAACATGTTAACAATGGTTACTTCTCATTGTTGTTATTTTTATCTTTCTGCCTTCCTCCTGCTTTCCTGTATTTAAGGTACTAAAAATGAACATGTACTACTTCAGTACTCAGAAAAATCAGTTTGAGTGTGCCAAAAGCTGCCTTCTTGCCTTATTTGAGCACCATCTAGTGCTCGGTGTACATAATACAATTTTCATAATGCAGTAAGGTTTCTAAGAAGTAGCCTTTATAAAAAGGGCCTTGTGTAAGCACAAAGACAAATATTATTCCACTCAGTGTCTGGTCTATTTTTAAAACAACTGAACAATTAACTCGAAAGAGTCATAGGATTTCTCATCATTAGGATAAAGCAGTCATAAGAAAATTGGTTAAATTTCTCCTGCTTATTTTCATCCCTCAAATATTTTAGACTCTCAAGACAGAGCCCTTGCTCTTTTTTAAATTAATAGGTATTTATTCCTCAAAAGAAGAGGCAAGTCAGACACTGCCTTATGGTTTTCATCCTCCGCACAAACCTCCATGGTGGGCATTACGATTCCCCTAGACAGAAACACTCACGGGCTCAGTGAGATGAAGGAGCTCGCCTAAGTTCAAAAAGCTAGTAACTGGCGGGGCCGAGATGCAAGATGAAGTTGATCCGGCTTCCAAACCTATGCTCTCCCAACCATGCTTCACTGCCTCCCTTCTCCACATGTCACCCCAAATCCCTGCACCTTTCAGCAAAACGGCTCTTACTCTTAGTAAGTATACAAGCTGTCACCATATTGCTCAGCAATGCTCTCAAATCTGGAACTGTAAGCTCATTAAGTACTAATGCTCATATCAAATATCAATCTAAAACAGAAAAACTTTTACAATATATTATGCTATATAACTTCCTGTTAGCTGGATACATCAGCATCACAAGGATGCAGGACTTTCTGCTTCCTGTCCAGGCACAGAACTTAGACCTTCGCCACATGGTGGTTATGTCACTGCAGCTGCCTCACATTTGGTTTTCCTGCCCTACTTTCTCTTCCTTCCTGCTCTTTCCAATCTATCACTCACCCTACCAAAAAAGTAATCTCCCTAAAACAGTACTTTCCCCAAATCCATTCCACAAGAACCTATGAGGGATGAGAATTCTAAGCCTCAGCTTTTCAACAGGTGCACCAAAAATGGGCAACAGGTGGACAGATTTTGACGTCGTCATTCAGCCCTCTGCGGTCTGGATCCCCACACCTTTCAGAGCCTCCTGAAACACCATGACATGCAAGCGTGGGCAAAAGAAGGCTTACAGGTGTAAGGATGCAAAACATGGTTTATTCCTGTATTATTATTTATTAATTATTGTGTTACTCATTTGTATTGTAACTGTAAACCTACTTTTGCCCACTCCATACATTGGGAAGCGCTTTCAGAGCTTCCGAAAATCTGTTCCCAACCTCTTACATTTGTTTCTCATGTCCTTCCAACATAAACTGGAAGAATTAAGGGATGTCATTTGGTCATACTTGATTCACAGCACAAGATTCACTTCTCCCTATATGTACAAGGTTATTCACTGTTGCATTATATGTAATAAGAAAACACTAGAAGCAACCCAAATGGTAAAACTATACTGCTATACTACCTTCGGCATATTCAGCGATGACACGCTATGCCCCATCAGAAAGAATGAGGAAGCTAAAATACAGAGAGAGGGCTCACCAAGATATAATCAATGAAAAAAATACAAAGTACGGCAGTGTGTGTATGTTATTATTAGTCTAAAATGAGGGGGAGGTATGTGCTAATTTGTCTGTATGTGCATGTGCTATGAGCTGAATGTCTGTGTCCCCCAAAATTCATATGCTGAAATCCTAACCTAATGTACTAATGCACATGGCCCTGTAGGGGTGATTAGGTCATGAATGTGGAATCCTTATGAATGGGATTAGTGCCTTTCATTGGAAAGGCCCCAGAAAGCTTGCCCCAGAGGTCTTTCTGAAAGACCTCAGACAGCCTTCTGCCATGTGGGGGCACAGAGAGAACATGTGGCCTAAGGACCAGAAGAGGCCATCACCCAACCATGATGGTGCCTTGGTCTCGGGCTTCCTCCCTCTAGAACCACAAGCAATGAATTCTTGTTATTACAAGCTACCCAGTTGGTGGTATTTTGTTAAAGTAGCCCCAACAAACTAAAACAGCATGAAACATCTCTTAAAAGAGTATGTAAGAAAGCATTAACATCTGTTGCCTCTGGAGTAGAGAACTAGGCACGTAGGAGGACAGAAGGAGACTTCCCACTTTTATAATCTTTGAATCCTTTGAATTTTGAACCCCAAGAATGTATTATCTTTTCAGACAAAAATAAATAAAATTATAAGTGTTTTAAATTCCATCTACAGGCACCACGGCTCCTGCGCCTCTCCCTACCACCTGCCAACACTGGGGTGGGCTCCGGCCCGCAGAGGAGGCCCCTGTGATCACCCTCTCCTCCAGGCAGGCGAGCACCCCCGGCCCACACCCACACACACAGAGCTGAGTCCTGCCTCGACGCCTTGGTCGATGCTCTTTCCACAAGTGCCGGAACTCTCCTTCTTGCTTGCTTTCCTTCTAAATCACCCGCCTCCTTCGGGGCTCTGTTCATATTCCAACCCTTCCTAAATACCTTCCAGAATCCTGTAATCCTGACCATCTCGCACAGTATCCAGGTACCCTCTAACATTTTACTTGCATATCTGGTCTATCTGATCTTAAAACTGAGTTATTTTTAAAAACAAAACAAAAACTGTAGAGTCAAAAAGTAATAATTTCTGCTGAAGGACAGAATGAGTACCACAACATGAGGCAACCAGAATATCAAATAAATGAAAACCTGATCTTGTCCTTTCTGATGACAACCTTTCAATGGTTTCCGATGATCTTAGGACAAACTCAAAACTCCTTGATATTCTTCACCAGAGCCCGGGAATCTTCCCCACGTCGTCCCTCCCCTCTCCTCTTCAGGCTCACACGCCCCACGCGCTCTCCCGCACCACGGGGCTTTCCTCGCGGCATTCCCCTCCCGGACCAGTCCTCTCCTGCTCCCAAGCCGCCTTTCCCGCGGCTCAGGAATCAGTTTAAAAGTGAGGCATTGGTTTTCGCCAATCAAATTGGCAAAAGTCAAATAATCTAAAAACGCATTAAACTGACAAAGGCGCAGGGAAACACACCTTCTCACACACTGCCGGTAGGAGTATTACATTGGTACAGCTTCCACAGAGCACAGTTAGCCACTATCTACCAAAATTACAAATGCATATGCAATTTGACCCAGCAATTCTACTTTCTAAACTACAAATATACTTGCATGCATGAGAAATCATGTCCACGGCATTATCTGTTATAACAAAACACTGGAAACAACCCATATATCCACCAAGAGAAAACTAATAAATATAGCCTATAAATATTCTGCAGACATTGAAAAGAAAACGGCAGCTGCATATGTGTTTAAATATACAAGATATATTTTACTTAACTGTGGAAGAAAAAGCCATAGATAGCAAGCAAAAAAGAGAAAAACAAGTTATGTGTAGTATGCTACCACTTGTGTTTAAACAATTTCGTAAAACTTAGATGAGGTATATGCTTAAATTATCTTGTACTGTCTTTAGAAGGATTCAAAAGAAACTGCTACCAGGAATCATCTCTGGGGAAGGGATGTGGTTGAGTGGGGAAAAAAGAAAGAGAAAAACTTATTTCCTACCGTTCTACCTTTTGGATTTTCTACTAGTACATGTATGATAAACAGACAGGTAGATAATAGGTGGGTGGATAAATGGACAGACAGACATTGCAAAATTTTTTTTTTTTAACTGAGCATAAGCACACAAATACATGTGGCCCTCTATAAAAATGTTAATCTTCAAGCGATCTCTTACCTGCTGGTCGGTGCAGGGAAAGAAAATGAGAGCAGCTGATTCCAGAACGGGTCATTCTCAGAGACAGATTCTGTGCCTGACAACTTTTTCAAGTACTCATTTTTAGGAAGATCACCGATCCTGCTGCTGTTCGATCCCATCTTCTGATCTGGTAGATAATTTGTCCTTAAACCTTCATTTCCACAGGACAACCTATAAAGAATAACAAGAAATTTCAAACTTGTTCGAAATAATCCTCATACATTTCCTACCCGTGACCCAAATGTAAAAAACTGTAAACTTACTAAAGGAAATCGCACCTTCCTTTATTTTTAAATATGTTAGACATCAGATACAAAGTTACAAGGTGGAAAATGGGGCTAACATCTGCCTTAAACACAGAAACACAAAAATCAGAATCTATACTTGTAGCTCTTAGAGGGGGCACCTCACTCCCCTCCGTGGAAAGAAACAACAGCACTACCTGCTGAGCAGAGTGAAGGCGGTGCCTGAAATGCCCAGGAGGCACGAGCGAAGAGGACCAGCCACTGAAGTGCTCCTCTCAGAAAGTTCCCCCTGATCCCCACCCTCACGGAAAGCAAAGTAGAGAACTGAGCCAAATGGCATCTCTTCTGCACTGAATCATGCCAAGATCTCCCCCAACCCCCACACACTCACACCCCGGACACCATTGATTGGGAACTTCCAAGACTCTTACCAATGAAAACAAGGATAAAACTTGAAAAACCCACTATCCAATCAGCTCACCTCCTAAGAGTCCTATTGCTTTCCCTTCTCGCGGTGCCTCAAAAGACTTCTCTGCTCTCAGCTCCTCTTCCCCTCTATTGGCAGTAATTGCGCCTGTCTCCTGGTTTCACTAGCGGCTTCCACGGTATTACTCTCACATCTCTCCCAGTCCCAGCCTCTGACCAGAACACCAGTTCTTCCTAGATCCCTAAAATACTTAAGATTTGTTAAAACTCAAGGAGAGTATATTTTTAATTGTATATGTAATACATAAGCTATAATTTAGTGGATAACAATGCACCTTACATTAAGTCTATACTAAAAGTGAGAAACATGCTATTGCTGATGCTTTTAGAAGTAAACCTTTCAAAGGACCTATTTTAATGCAACACAGTCAAGAACTTGATCTTAACACGTGCAAAACTGATTCCACCCTCCCTCCCAAAACCAGCTTGCCTGACTTTCACTACTCCTGTAAAGTTCCCATTATGTTAAAAACCACCTTGAAATATGATTTGTCTGTAGTACATATGACACATCTCCTGGGTAGATTATTCCTGAATAATAACTTAAGGTTAAAAAAATTTTTTGGTTAAATAAATGGATTTTTCTCTCTTGACCTTATGTCCTTCAGGAAGAATCTGAGTGGCTTTTGGCTTGTGCTTTAACCTCTATGTGAGTGACCCCGGAACTAATATCTTGGCCTGACTTCTCAGTCAGAACCCAAGCATCAGTCTTTACTTAAAGGCCATTTCAATTTGATGTCTTGTTATCATCATAAATTTTAAAACAGATCTTAACATTTGTCTCCCAAAATAAGCAACCCCTCCAAAATATCACTATTTCTATCAATGTTATCAACCTTCTTGGCTCCAACTGTCTCATTCACATAACCAACCATTCATTTTATAAATGCCTATTACACCCTCTTATAAATGTTAGGTGTTATGCTGGAAACTTAAAATGTAAAAATGAGTAAGACCAGGTCCCTGCCATTAATGAACTCAAAGCCTACTTAACACATATGGTATGTATTACAATGGAGTAGTTATACACGAAAAGCTATGGAAACATCCAGGGGCATCTGAGGCAGAGGGAACAGAATGTACAATGGTACTTTTACTCAGCCATCCTACTTAAATGATGTATATGTCAGAACGAAGCCAAGTGCTTTACAACTCCTAATTCATTTCGGCCCCATTAATAACTCAGAGAAGGTCACAATTTTCTCAGTTTACAGATGCGGAAACTAAGACACAGGCAGTTAAGAAACTTCCCTAAGGCCCCAGAGATAAGTGGCAAAGCCAGGATTTAAACCCAGGTGATCCAATTCCAGAATCCCTGGTCTTCACCACTCCATTAGGGTGACTCTCAAATGACATCCACAAGTCCTTTGGGTTCTTCTAGAACATCCACAATCCTCCATACCGTCTTTGAAATCCATCTCTTCCTTTATATTCCCACTGCCTCCATGCTAGGCCAGGCTTCTATAATCTCATATGACGTAGTGCAACAGTATCTGGCTGTCTCTACTTCCAATCGTTCCACTTGGACTTGTTTTGCACACTCCACTACTACATTAATCCTTTAGAAAAACACAGGAAATTCAGGCCAGCACTGCAATGAAGACCAGAGGTTCTTGCAAGCTACACCCTGCCAAGTCTGTATAGAATCAGTCTGAAATCCATTTTACAACTTATAAAACCCACTGCATGACAGAAAAAACAATGGTACCTACAACTCATAAGACAGTCTATGATGAAGCAAGACGATTCATACAAAGCACTCAGTAAAGAACCTGGCATCGAGTATGCTTAGCAAAGTAAAAGGTCAAATATAATTTATTTTTAATACTAGAAAAGTTACCACTTCCATCATTTCACTCACCAGCTCAAAAACATTCAATGATTTTTCATTTCCTAAAAAACAGATTACGGACATTCAAGGCCCTCCACAGTCTGAAAGGTCACTTTCCAAATTTACTTCCAACCACCCTCCCATCCAGAGGCTCTCAAACTTAAATGTATATGAAAAACACCTGAAGGAGTATGTGACTCAAATGCAAATACCTGGGCCCCCAAAATTTCAAAATGTCAGCGTAGGGCCCAAGCATCTGCATTTTCCTAAAAAGCATTCAGCGGTTGTCATACAAGTAGCCTGCGAACCCTACTTGCAAGTATGACAAAGTGGCGGCAAGCTATCTTCTCAGCATCTTGGAAGCTCCCGCCCACCTCTGCTCCTGCCATTCACACCTGCCTTCCACTACATTTGCCCTGTAGCTCTTCAAACCCTATTCACTAGCATGGAGTGATTTCTCTGTATTCATACAGAACTCATTGCCTTCACCACTCATTTGGAACTCACCCTTCCAATAATGCTTTGTTTTGCTGTCTTTTACACTACTACTTAACTCTTCAGGTCAGTTCTTTTCTCAATTTTACCATCATGGGTGAAAACAATACTTTGAACAAAAAATAATATGTTCAATATTTTGTATTTTGTGAAATATCTGATATATACATAAAATTAAATCTCATTTGTGTGTACTGATTCACTGTCTCCTAATTTAATGTGCCTTAAATGAAAACTAAATATTAGTGGATCTGAAAATCTGTAACAGCCAAATTCTGTCCTAACAGCCTCAAAATATGCAAATCCACCCTGTCCCAACTTAGGTTGAGAATCCATAAATCATAAATTGTATTCCCAAATCGCCTTCTTCCTGAACACACACACACACACACACCCACACACCCACACACACACCTCCCAATTTGTAGCCAAGAGACTTTAAAGTGAAACCTCATAGTTGAAACAGGAGACAAGAGAAATAGTGGGCAATGGTCACTAGCCAAAGACAAGTCAAACATCACAGGTGCCATTAGTCCAATGGAACATTCTCTGAAAGGTTACTACGTTCCAAGTGCTATATTAAGTATAGTTGGGTATTCCACTCCAGTAAAAAGAGAGTAATAAAAATAAAAAGCCCACAAATATAAAACAGAGATGAGGAAGACAGAAAGGTGACACGTGGTAGTAACTGAACCGCAGAGCCGAGGACACCCCAATGTAACCTGCCAAAGTGGACACCAACAGGAAGCCAACCCACCCCATGGAACCCTGGGAAGAAGGAAAAGCTGTAGAAAAGCGGCGTAGGAGGCAGGCGCCAGGCGCAGGGCTAAACTCTGTGGGTATCCCCACTCCTGCCCTGGGTGGGAGACCCCGCGTGCACTCTCTGGAGAAATCCGACTGGAGAGAGTGGACTCGGAAGCCACAGTTGGGAAGGGCGATGAGATGGAAGATGAAAGCAGGAGAACGAAGTTAACATGTGCCTGCTCCACAGTCACGCAGCGGACCCCCCCAGCGTCCAAGGCAGGGCATTGGAGGGTTCTCCTCGGGTGAAACCAAAGGGGGGACCCAGGGAGAAGACTGGGTTTACCCCCCCCCTTTAAAGAGCTGGCTAGCCATCTCCCGCAATGCCTGTCACCAAACCAAATCCTCACACAGAGAGCTTCCGATCAATTTGGGGGATCGCCATCCTAAATAAGAATGGACAACCAAAAATAAGACTTGTTTGGAAACCCTCCAAAGAAAGGAATTAGAAAACAAATGATTCTGAGAGAAGGAAAAGTATAAAAACTAAAATTAATATCAAGGACACACATTAAGAACAGTAAGTGTACACAATTATGTAGCACTTAGCATGTCCACAGGCGCTTTGCACATATTCTAAGTGCTTTACGCATATTGACTCATTTAATCCTCACCACAACCTCTGAGGCAGTTTATCACTCTCACTGCCTAAATCGTGGGTCAACAAATTATGGTCCAAAGGCCAAATCCAGACTGCTGCCAGAAGAATCATTTTTTATATTCTTAAATGGCTGAAAAAAATAAAGACTATTTTGTGACATGCGGGCATTATATAAAATTAAAATTTCAGTGTCCATAAGTAAAGTTTTATTAGAACACAGCCACACTCATTTGTTCACATATTGTCTATAGCTGCTTTTGTAACACAACAGCAGAGAAGGGCAACTGAACAGAGAATATATGTGGTGCTCTCAACCATTTATACTGCTACTCAACGCACTACAAATCTCAGTGACACACGTAACAATGACAGCACTTCAAGTGCCATGTGTACTGCCAAACTGCAACTTTTTCTTTTTTAATTCTCACCTGAGGATACATTTATTGATTTTAGAGAGGGAGGAAGGAGGGGGGAGAGAAAAACATCGATGTATGAAACTTGGACTGGTTGCTTCCTATACACTCCCGGACCGGGGATCGAACCTGCAACCTTTTGGTGTATGGGACAACACTCCAACCAACTGAGCCACCCGGCCAGGGATGCAATTTTTTTGTTTTAAATTACCGGTGGAGATCTGTCATGTCAAAACAAAAAAGAAAGTAAACTTTGATGACACACTTTTATGTAACGGTAGAGTGCAGATTATTTTTTA